TTCAGAACGAGCCCAGGCATTCGGCGTCTCGGGAAATCGAGACGACTGGTGCCCCCAGTTTCAGGAGCTTTGGAGGCCGGGCTCGGGCCCCGAGGCCGTCGAGTGATGATCGGGGATGGAGGGCTGGCCCCGGGCAAGGGGTGGATGAGTCTGGGGGCCCATGCCTCGAAAGAGTCGAGCCGCGAGATGTCTCTTTGACGGGGGCTTCTCTCAAGTGCCAGGTGTAGGTCAGAGGCGCTATCGTCCTTGGCGGCTCAAGTTGAAACCCCCAGACAGGCTGCGGAACGAGAGACGGAGATTCTGGCGAGAGAATTCTCCATGACTCCGCAACTGCATGAAGGCCGGCGTGTATAGAACGGCGTGTATATCACAGATTTGATTTTGCACGAGTTCAAAAGACCTGGCGCCCCTGCCACGGTGGACTTTTCTTCTCCCTCCCGCGATTTGGCCACGCGCGGAGGGGGGTAATTAGGGGGCGGGGGGAAGCGCCCCTGCTTCTAAGAAGCCTTCCCACCTCCCCCTACCCCCCCGTCCGCGCGCCGCACAGTGATCTGGCAGAGGGAAACACTTCGTGGTCACTCCCTCTTCCCCCAAGCTCAAGGTTGGCACGCCCTGGCGCGACTGCGGTCGAAGTGCAGCTCATCAGACCCACCGGCAACTTTGAACAGTGGTCGGCCACGCGCAGGGGGGGGTAGGGGGAGGGGGGAAGGCTTCCTAGAAGCACCCGTGCTTCTTGGAAGGCGCGGGCCTTGTGTGTAGATGTGGGGCCGGCGCCTTCTAAGAAGCGGCCTCCTTCTAAGAAGCCTTCCCTCCTCCCCCTGGACCCCCCTCTGCGCGCCGCCAAATTGGGGGGAGAGGGAGGCGCTGACCGATGAGTGTGGCACGCGTGTTCGCCACAAATTTATCCGAGGCCTGCCACGCTCAGGGCACCCGCAGGTGCGCGGCAGTCGCCGCGCGCCGCGCGCCACGGCCCAGGCCGAAGCGCTGCCCCCGTGCCACGGGGGGAGAGGCGCGCGAGGGCGGCCGTGAGGACGGCGCGCCCGTGGCGCGCCGTGGACCGGAGGCCTCTCCCAGAGGCCTCTCGGGGGCCTCGCGGAGGCCTCCAGGGTGCGAGGACGAGCAGCGGCACGAGCATATAAGAGCTGGGAGGTGCGCGCGGATTTCTCGGGTCGGCGCGGAGCGCGCCAGGGGCGGCGCTGGAGTCTCCGCCGGGGGGCCCCCAGCGCCGATGCGAGAAGTCCGCGCGGACCTCCGGGTCCCGGGCGTCAATGTCCCGGGCCTTGCCCTTAAGTTGGGCATGTGCCTCTACAGGAGGGATACTCCAGCATGGTGAACACATAGTCAGGTGACGATTTGTCGATTTGTTTGAAGTTTTTTGATTATCTTTTCTGTTTCCTCCGAATCGGGTATAGCCCGGACCCTGGTTAAGGGGAGCCGGTTATTGATTGGGCCCCGAAGCCCAAAATATGGATTGGAATCACCAAACCAGGTCTGCCGCAGCTGATGCTTTTCGGGTGACGGTAATTCTGGTTAGTGGAATGGGACGGGGGGGGGCGTCCCTGGTACAGATCATTGAACCAGGTCCCACTGAACCCAGTCCTGCCATCGCCCGACCAAAATCCGCCTGTAGGAGGCCATGCCCGACCTAACATTTCCCAGCCTCGCCGAACCCGCGGAGCGTGGCGCGACGCGCTGTCCGCCCGCAGGGCACACGGCGTGTCGCTGGCGGCTGCCGCCGCGGCACGCCGAGGGGAAGCTCCCGACCGCAAGGGGGGGGCGCCGAGGAAGGTTGGCTACTAGCCGCATCGCCGACGCATCGGCGATGCAGCTCGATCCCCGACATGATCGCGTCGTAACAAAAATCAGGACGGCAAGTTTTTCATTATTTTCGGCCCCTGGGGGCCCTCGCCGGGCCCCGGGACCGTCAAAAACGATTCAGTATGAAGAACCGGCCCCGTGGAAAGGGTCTGGACTTCCGGGGACGCCGTGCTGAAGAAAAATCAGGACGTCGCATGTCTGGGTCGGCGATGCAGCTCCATGTGGAATCCGATCTCCTCCGCGACGACGTCGCCGATGCACCGCTGACGTCGCCGATGTATCGCCGATGCGGAGCGATCCTCCGACCACAGTTGCTCCGAGCCCATCTCGGAGGCCTCTGCACCGGTTCAGGAGCATCGATGGTGGATCGGGGCCACCTCAGGGGTAGGCGCCGGGGGATCGGCACGAACGAACTGGCACGGAAAGAATGGGTACGAAACCCAACAGCAGTTCCTGTTCATTTTGAACAGGGCTCGCTGTCCTCGCCGCCGCGGACGTTGTCCATTTGAGATAGAAGGCCGCCTGCCCAACAGCGGCCGCTGTCGGTTTTGGACAACATCTGTTATTGGGCATCGTGCCCAATTTTTTCCCGTACCCATTTCGAGCAGCATCCACGGGTCGACTACACGTAAGTCGGTATCGTTTAACCAATCTCCATCCCCAGTTGGGGATACACCCCTCGAAGCCCGAAGGGAACGGCCCATATCCCCATCTAGGGGGGCAAATCGGCCAGTGGGGTCCAGGCCACGCCGCAGGGGATGGGGATCGGTCAAACGATACTCAGTGAGGGCGACCCTGCGCCAGAGTGACCTTCTGGTGCGGGCCCACTTGGATCGGGGGAGCGTAAGACCCGGGTTTGCCGAGACTCGGGTTCGCCACCGTTTTTTGACGACCGCGCCTCGGATTTTGACGAGGAGGAGTTTCGTGGGATGTCTGCAGCGGGAGGCCTCGTCAAAATGCAGGCTCGGCCTCGTCATTTTTTTGACGGCCTCGTCGGGGATTTCCGAGTCCCCCGTAACCGGGTCTTACGTCTCCCCGATTGGACTCCTCGATCGCGGAAGGCGATGCGACAGCAGTGGCTTGGGCGCTCTGGTCTGGCCCCTTCGCGCCCGCCCCCCCCCAACGCCGCGCACCAGAGGTCACTCTTGCCTAGGGTTGAGTCGGGCCTGTCCCTTGACAGGAGGAATATTCAAACATTGTAAAAAAATGCATGGGGACGACTCGTTGTGTATTTTTGTGCTATATCTGAGTATTTTCGGAGGGTTTAAGATTTGTCGCCCGAAGTCTGCCTGTAGACGGACATGCCCGACCTAACCCTAACGCCGCGCACCAAAGGTCACTCTTGCCTAGGCACGTGTACGGTAGGCTCCTGCGGCAGTGGCACGCGGGCGACGCCGGCGAAGGCGTTCAAGGCTGATTTCTGCGACGCGGAACCACCGAGGGACACGGTAATGCCACTGGGCCCGACGGAATTCAGCTTTGAACGATCAGGGGCGCGATCGATCCAAGGCTGAACGATCGACGCCTTCGCGCGCGCCGACGCCGCGCGAATCGACCGTAGCCGAAAAGGGGATCGGCGTCACCCCGACATAGTAATTTTATACGTGCGTCGCCCCCCAAGGGGCGACGCGCGCACCGAGAAATCTTACCGTACATGCGTCGTTGCGGGCGCTTTCTGGCCACACCGCCCGGGAAACGATATACCACAAGATGGGCATACTGTAGGTTCGGGTCGGACGCGCGCCTCCAAGGAGAACATGTAGGGCGTTCCAAAAAGGGGCCTCGCCTTCGAGGTTAGAAAGAGTTGCTATCTTTTCCGCGGCGGAAGGCGGCGGAAGGGCGGCGGAAATAAAACGAGGCCGCCTCCGCCAGCGGAAGCGGGCAGAAGTCTGACGGAAGTGGAAACATGCGCCCCCAAGAGGTGACAACATTTTTGGGTTCAGGGTTTCTGGCCACACCGCTCGGGAAACGATATACAACAAGACGGGCATGCTATATTGTAGCATTTCCGCCTTATGGTAATACAACGCACGCCTCCAAGGAGAACGCATACAGTCAGTGGAGGCCAGTCCACAAGAAACCTTTCACAAGAAACCCAACCCTGAGACCCCAGGACGTCCATCGGTTTTTGGCTTGGGAATGTCACGCGTTCCACAGCAAAACCATCGAAACCCAAGAAACCCTGGAGGCACCCTGGAGGCAAGCAGGATGTTTCTTGGCATGGGCCTCTCCTGTAGCACTGGTACGTCTCTGCGCGTCCCATGGGGAGGTCGTGAGCACTCTCCTCCTCCTGCTCCCCCTGCTCCCTGCTCTTCCTCCCTCTCCTGCTCCTCCTCCTCCTCCTCCTCCTCCTCCTCCTCCTCCTCCTGCTCCTCCTCCTCCTTCCTCCCCCTGCTCCTGCTCTTCCTCCTCCTCCTGCTCCCCCTGCTCCCTGCTCTTCCTCCTTCTCCTGCTCCTCCTCCTCCTCCTCCTGCTCCAGAGCAGCTGCGGTCCTCCTCCTGCCCCTCCTGCTCCTCCCCTGTTCTCATGGGGAGGTCGTGAGCCCCACCCCGCTCCACGTCCTGGTGCACCTCGCCGCCGTCGGCGGCGCGGCGCACGGGCGGCTCGGCGCGGCGGAGGAGCAGCCCCAGGACTCCCCCCCGCGGGGCGGGGGGGGGGGGGGCGAACAGTCAGGAGGGACAAAAAACACACAGACACAATGAATCGTCGATTCCCCAGAAAAAGTGGGGAAGTATGGGAAGTGGGGGGGACGACAGAAATCCAGAACATATGGGAACATGTGGGGAATTTTTTTATTTGTGCGTATCTATTTGTGTGTGTGTGTGTCCCGGGGCCCCTTCAGAGCAAGGGGGAGGGGGGCCCGGGCCGCCTGCGCTCCCCGCCGCCGGAGGGCCGAGGCTGCCTGCTTCCAGGATGGGCAGGTCCCGTGGCGCTGCCGCGCGAGGAGCGAACCGTAGAAACCACCGAGCACTCACGACATAGAAAGCAGCACAGCGAGCAACCATGTCACAACAGCGACTGCACGAACAGAACGAGCCCTATGAGACACTGGGCAGCATTACAAGCACACTTGCCACATCAATCACAATAATCCAGAAAGCGCACATAAAGAAAACATCTAAAACAACGAACAATGATGACATGAACAATTGCGCTGCCGCGCGATTTCGCCACCGCGTTCGGGCGGGCCGAGGGGGGGGGGGCGCTTTGGGGGGGGGTGGGGCGGAAGGCGGGAGGGGCCACGGATCCTGCCATTCCCGAACTTTGTGTTCGGGGCCATTGTCTGCCTGGAAGGCCAAAGGCGCGGGGACGTGGCTACAAAAAATAAACGCATCTTGGGCTCGACGCGTCGGAGCCCTAGTCATTGTTTCGCAAGAGGCGAAGGGCCCGACGCACACCAACTGCTGCAAGCGCGGTAGCGGATTTCCGGGGCCTATGCCAAATTCTGTTTTCACTTTGTAGCCACAAGCGTCTACAGACACATTGGATGTGGTTACGTGTGCAGACACATTGGGGGTGGATGCGTCTGTCTAGTAGACAACGCGGCCGTTGCGTTCGGCGCAGTGCAAGGGCGGAGTAAGGGTAGATCCGTCTACGGTATGTTCCTGTTCTAGAGAGGGTCCCACGTGGTACTACACCCGCCGCTTTCTTTCGAAGGACAAAGCGGCATAATCATGATTCCTCGGAGCTCCGCCTGGATTTCTTGGATCGGCGTTGGGCCCCCCTGGCGGCGCCTCCAGCGCGCCGCCCCAGGTGGGTCCAGCTCCGATCCAAGAACTCCGCGCGGAGTTCCGAGAAACTATACGTATGCCGTTTTTGTTCATCTACTCTTCGTTCGTCTGTTCTTTGGGCTTCTCCGGCGTCGCGGGGCAGAAATTCACGGTGGCAGGTCTTCTTGCCGCTTTGGCTTCCGGGGGCCGCCTTGCTTTGGGCCCCAGGGCCGTCAGAAGACGGCCCACGACGGAAGACCGGTTTGGGGGAGGGGGTTGGGAGCTCTGGGGGCCCGAGCCGTGATACAGTAACGTTACTGTAGAGCGTCAAGTATAGGGCACCATCCCCGCGACGCCAACCAGAGAGCACCAACGATGTAGCACCGCAGGCCAGAACGCACCAACAGAACATCAGCCATAGGGCACCAGCCCTGGGCTGTCAGCCATACAGCACCAATCGTAGAACACCACAGGGCACCAATCATAGGATGCCAAACATTCGGCACCAACCATAGGGGCGCCAAGCAGAGGGCACCAGACAGAGAGCACCAGCGTGACAGCGGCAGACCGCGGCATCCAAGGTCAGTTCCTTACAACTCATGTAAGACAACCTAAGTGCAATCTTTGTTTGGGACATTTTATATTGAGCTACCGCGTCAGGGTACTTTCATGCGCACGCCAGTGCTATATTGTACATACATAAATATGTATGCATGTGTGCATGCATGTATGTGTGTATGTATGTATGTATGTATGCATGCATGCATGCATGTATGTATGTATGTATGTATGTATGTAGGTATGTATGTATGTAGGTATGTAGGTAGGTGTGTATGTAGGTATGTAGGCATGCATGTATGTATGGATGGGTGGATGGATGGATGGGTGTATGCATGCATGCATGTATGCATGCATCTATGTGTGTATGTATGTAGGCATGCATACATGCATACATTCATGAATGTATGGATGTACACGTGTACGTATGATTGTAAGTATGCATGCTTGTATATATGTACGTATATTGGCACGCATGCACGCATGTATGCATGCATGCATGTATGTGTGACTTCAGATATACGTATATGTATGTGTGTACGTGCATGCACGCATGCATGTATGTATGTATGTATGCAGGTACGTACGTATCTATGTATGGATGTATGCATGTATGCCTATATGCATGCATGCCTGTATGTGTGTATGTTTGTATGTACTTGTGCATGTATGCATGCATGCACGCTTCATGCATTTATGTATGCTATATGTACGCTTGTATGTATACACGTGTGTGTGTATATGTATTTATATGGACGTGCATGCGTGCATGCATGCATGTATGTAGGCATGCATGCATGTATGTACATCTGTATACATGCATGTATGTATGACTGCAGTGTAGTATAGCGTAATGTAGCGTAGCGTAATGTAATGTGCAGTTTGTAAATGTATTATAATGTAATGCGCGGTGAGGTGTGGTGGTGCAAATTAATGTAAGGTATGTATGTGTGTATGCATGTATGTATGTATGTATGTATGCATACATGCATGCATGCATGCATGCAGCCATGCATACATATGTATATATGTCAGTCTACCTGCATGTCTGTATGTCTGTATGCCTGCATGTCTGCATGCATGCACGCTTGTATGCATGTATGCATGCATGCATGTATGTATGTAGTATAGTGTATGTAGGTATGTATGTATGTATGTAGGTAGGTAGGTAGGTAGGTCGGTCGATATGTAGGTCGGTATGTATGTATGTATGCATGTATGTATATATGTATGTATGTATGTATGCATGCATGCATGTATGTATGTATGTATGTATGTATGCATGTATGTATGTATGTATGTATGTATGTATGTATGTAGATGGGTAGCTATGTAGGTGTATATGTGTAGGTATGCATGTATGCATGCATTTATGTATGTATGTATGTATGGTATGGTATGGTATGGTATGGTATGGTATGGTATGGTATGGTATGGTATGGTATGGTATGTATGTATGTATGTATGTAGGTAGGTAGGTAGGTAGGTATGAATGTATGTATGTATGTATGTATGTATGTATGTATGTATGTATTTATGTATGTATGTATGTATGTATGTATGTATGTATGTATGTATGTATGTATGTATGTATGTATGTATGTATGTATGTATGTATGTATGTATGTAGATACGTGTGTATGTGTGTCTGTTGTGCGTGCATATATAGATATGTGCCCACACGCCTTTAAGCACCTGAATTTAGCTCGAGGGATTTACTCGATAAGGCCACGCCTTCGATTCAATAGGCTTACGCCGTTCCGCCGACCCCCATGACAGTCAATTCGGCAAGAATCGTGCCACCGTGCCTGGCCTGTTGGTCAGGAGCCTCAGGGATGCATATGAGAGTCTCCTGGAATGCCTCTCAGGGGCCTCTTGGAGGGCTCTTGTCGGCAGCTGATTGGCTTTTGGGAGCCTCTCGGGGGCGTCTTTGGGGCCTCTTGGGAGCCTCTTGCAAGCCTCTCGGTGCCTTTTGGGGGCGCCTCGGGGGTAACCGGGGGGCTCTTGAGGCCATCACGGCGGGAAAGACTCGAGATGTCGTTCGTATTGCCCGTCTTGGGCCCCTCTTGATGCCCTCTTGGACCGTCTTAGGGGCCCCTTGGGGCCGCTTTGGGGCCCTCTTGGGCCCCTCTCGGGGCTCTGTTGAGCCGTCTTGAGGCCGCCTTGTGGACCTCATGGGCAATCTTGGGGCGATCTTGGGGGCTCCTTGGGCCTTTCTGGACGCTGTCAAGACGAAACAGGCGTGTATGTCGAAAATGCACGTTTCTCACGGGAATGGAGCGATTTTTGCCCTTTGAGGCCCTCTCGACGGCCCTCTGGGAGCACTCTTGGGCAGTCTTTGGGGCCTCGGAGGCCCTCTTGAAGCCATCTCGGACCGTCGCGGGGTTGTCCTGGGCCGTCTCGACGCTCTCTTGGATGGTCTCAGCGCATATTGGGCCGTCTTGGAGATCTTTGGAGGCTCTGGAGCACCCTGGGGTGCGTTGACGAGCTCGTAACCCACCTTCCGCCTGCCCCCCCCCCCTCTCATGCGACTTGTGGCATTGGGGAAAGGGGAAATGGTGAGAGGGACAGCCAATCATCTCATACGCCTTCTCTTCCCCTGCAAGCGTGGGTCGGCGGATTTCTTTGAATATCAGTTGCCAGTCGCGACCGCTATTTCCTCCCTACTCTCCCTACCATACCCTGTTCCTGCTTTGCGATACCATCCTGAGGCAACGGGTAGTCCCTCGCTTCGATCACAGTTTCAGTGGAGCACCGCTTCTGTGACGCATCAATTTCGTGACGTCTCAGCCGTCATGATGTTACCCACAGCCTTCAACACTTCCGCTACGCTTTCGTTGAGCCCGCGCTGATGCTGCCGTCTCCACCAACAGTTCGATATTTCAATGCCCATAGCATCGCCTACGGTTGTCCCTCTTCCCCGCCCTCACCCGCGTCACCACCAGTGCCACCACTTCTACTTCCGCCCACGTCTTTCTTGTAAATGTTGCTGTCTCTGACCCTCCCTCTGCGCCTTCGGCCACGCCCTCACGTCCAGCTCTACAGTTCCATGGCACCTGACCTGCGCCTGCGGCTACTCTGTCGATCGGCACGCACCTCACTCCAGGGTCACGCACGCCATCACGCCTGGTGGAGGTGCAGAACCGGCCTCCCAGACATTGGGTTTACCACTTCACGACGTCAGCAGCACCAGTCCACGTTCACGCGTACAATTGATTCACCACTGCCGATGGCCAACGTGCCCAGCCAATACCCGCAGACAGCCAGACACAC